TAAAAGGCATATTTTGTAAGTGTTCATGCTGCTCAGTTTAGCTTCTTAGTTTAGTTTAATTTTTTTAAAATATGACTAACTGACAACTCAGTATGAAACATTTTAAGCTACAGGTCCCACTGAGTTCAACTGTGCTGTACTTCTTGGTACCGGCTTTAAAAAAAATAGAATATTATTTCTGAACTGTAGATTATCTGTGCAGCAGATAAGTGTTAGATGAGCTAAATGCTGACCTATAGACCGAACTAGTAAAATTATTAGTATTCTTTTGTTTAATGTCCTGAACTGTACAACATTATTTATTTCTTATGTATTTACAAATATTTACAAACTGCTTGGATCTATAGATGTTGAAGTTGTGTACATACAACCAAATAAAAGCATACAATATAAACAACACATAAAATCAAAACATACGCCTAAATCCAATTGCTCCTCTTGGCTAGAATAAACCCATTGATTCTTCTGCTGAATCATAAGTCAGCACTTATGTAAATTACATGGAGTCAGTGAGTTTTCTCTGGTTGGGACTGGCACATAGATGCAAGCCTCCATATTTATTCTTATATTAACATCAAATGGATGATGAAGCTGAACTGGGAAGACTGCAAAAACATGTTAAATAATCATCATCCATCACCATCATCATCATCCACCACCATCATCATCTTAGAACTGCAGAGCTGGAAGGGACCCTATAGATCATCAAGTCCAGCCCCTGTCAAAGAGGCACAGTGGGGGAATCGAACTCCAGCCTCTGGCTCCACAGCCAAATACTGTGCTCCAAAATGCAGAGTGGAGTCAGGAATGTGTGACACCATCAAGGGAGCCTCTGCAATTTATTTATTTATTTAAATGTATTTATTTAAAATATTTTAAACCTCCCTTTCTCCTTAAAATGGACCCAAGTGGCTTACAACAATTAAAATACAGTATTTAAGATTAGTAACAATTAGTATACAATACTAAATGGATCAATGAATACAGCACCAAAAAACTTAAGCAGCACCAAAACATGTTCAATGCAATAAGGTACAACAATCCATTTTAAAAACTCCACTTTGCAAGGAAAACATATCCAAAGAAAAGGTCTTCAACTGACCTTGAGGACTGAATGGGTTTATAAGGGAGAAGGCAATCTTTCAAGTAACCAGGTTTCAAGTTGCTTATGGCTATATATTCTAAGATCAAAATTTTAAATCAGGGCTCATAGCAAATAACATCACCAGAAATGCTGCCCATAAGTGGCCACATTCAGAAATCCAGCCAAAGCATTTTGCACGATCTGCAGCTTCCAGGTCAGCCTTTGGAGCAATCCCACTGCAATGCCTTGGGGTTGCCAGTGTCTGGACCACTGCGTCCAAGCAATCCCTGTCCAAGCTGCATAAACTGTTCAATAAAATATAGGCTGTCTTCAAAAAACAAAACAAGAACAACCCCTCCCCCCCACAAACCTAGTTGCTACTAAGCCCCATTGGAAGCAACAGACTAGATCCTGACTTTATGGATGGTATGCATATGTATCTAGATCAAAGGTGTCAAACTCAATTTCTTCTTGGGCTGCATCAGCATTATGGTTGCCCTCAAAGGGCCAGTTGTATCTGTAAGACTATATAAATGTATCTACTGTTCGTCATATTAAATATAATCATCCTCATTCAATTATCCCTTTCTGACTCTTCGCTGCTTGGAATGCTGGGATTAGAAGCCCCACTGGGCAGATTCCCAGCATCCTTGTGGAGCATTATGGGTGACCGAGTGTCTGCATATTGTATACTGCACAGTAGCAGGCTACACTGTGAGGGCCACATGAAACGGCCCAGTGGGCCGGATTTGGTCTGCGGGCCTTGAGTTTGACACATGTGATCTAGATGTTCCATTTTGTTCAGCTAAGTGTATGTAGGATTGCATCCATATAGTACAAGCCTAAATACATTCACTCAAAAATAAACTCCACTTAACAGTGAATCAGGTAATGACACTGAGAAGATAGTGGTTTACTTGGCTTTGTTTACTAAATAGTTACTGATGGTGCTTGGGTTTGAGAAGACATTGAGACTGGAAATTCAACATGTGGGGAAGGGGAGGACCATGATTTTCCCTTTTGTATCCTCCGCAGTCTAATTTCAATACCCATCTTGTGACTGTATGGCCAGGTAGAAAGCTGTCACCATATACTCCTCAGTTCAGTTCGACTTCCTTTCTCAAGGATTTTATAAACACAGCTGTAGCCATTATTACATTTTGCTGGATTATGCCCTATATGCTTAATTGCTTGGTATGTTTGAAACATGACCTTAAACATCACATGACTGCTTGCACCAATCATGTCTAATCAATACTCCTTTGACTTGACTGTAGAGTGAGCAGTTTTCTTCAGCACAATATAAAATCTAGTGTATGTGAGCGAGTTGAATTTAGTCATTTAATTTAATTCTCTTTAGATAATTTTGCCAAATCAGCCATTGTATTTATATTTCTGAATGGCATGAAAGAAACAGACTGCCAGTTCTGAGCAAGATATTGTCAATTTTTTACAAACAAATTTTAGATGTTCTACACCTTGACCGAAAACATATTAATTGAGAAAAAGCCCTAGTACTTTCAGTGTGACTGGCTTCTAGTTAATGTGTTTAAGTCTGTTTTCTAATCAAATAAGTCTGTATTCTTTTCTGTGCTTAATGCAGGGCTGCTTTGATATGACTCATGTATCATCTCAGATAATTTCATCTCCATTTCTTCCTCAGTATTAGATGCAGATTTATCAGAAACAAGACAGAACTGTAGTAAATGTTGACAAATATCATAGCAAAAATGACTAAATTTTGCTTTTGTGTAATCTTCGAACCAACACAAGATTTTATTTTGCTTTAAAAATGCTACATTTGATGTTATTAAACAGAGTTTCCACTTAAGCAGCTTGGCTCTAAGCATATTTCTTTTAAATTGAAATCAGCTGAAATAGCTTGTGAATAATTTATTTAGAACTGAGATAATGTATTAGATGCAAGAATGTTTTTTTACCATGCCTATAGTAATAACAAAGATGTGGTGCCAGTCTATTGGGAAGATTCTCTGAATCAGCCCCATTGAAATGAAGGTTTATGGTCCAATTTGTTTCGGTGGGTCTTGTGCAAAAGAACTTCCCCAATGGCTTCTCACTTGCAGGTTCCTTGGCTCAGCAATTTCTGGACCAGATCCATCAGCTTCAAGTCCAATACCTACTGAACTGTGCTGTCTTCTCTTAACTTGTATTCAATATTGTTGTCATGCATAAACATTACCAACAGTGACCTTGCTGAAGCAAAACTAATTTCCCTACTCCTCCGATTCTATGTCTCTTTACAGTTGCAAAACATATTAAATAGATTCAAATATGCATGTGTTGTGTTTTTTAAAATCAAGACAGAAGCAAATTAAATTCAATAAGCAAGTACAATATACTTGTAAAGTGTAACACCTGCATGAACATTTTATAGAACATAAACACACACACACACACTTCCTCTCACCCCTGCATATTAGTTTAAAACCACAGCCATTTGCTTATTTAAAGCTCTCAGCAGCTAACAATGCTACAAGGCTAGTAAATCCTACCAGGCACTCTTTCAGAATCTTTATTTACTAGAGGAAGTAATGTACCTTACTTGTGTATCCATGACAACAGTGTAACATGCCAGTGCAATACTAGAGTTTTCCTTGCAACTGCAATATGAGATTAAAAGTAAGAGGCTAAATCTTATTAAATAGCAGAAGCTTTTCAGAAGATAAAACATAAAGTTTATGGGAGCATATGATAGTTGTTCATCGTAATATATTTGTGCCATTTCGTTTCTTCAGTTAGGTCTGTCCATTGATCGTAAACAGCCATGAGTGGGGCGGGGGGGGGGATTCCTATGCCTGCAAAGATACACTTTAGCAACTCTTATCTTAGATTTTTGCAATAGGGAAAGGTGATTTCCCAATGTTAAAGGTGAATTTTTAACAATACCTGTTTGAACAAGTATTAACTGGGAGCATTCTGCTGTTGTTGTCAATGTTGTCGTCATTGTCATGAGGCTTTCCAGAGGCCAAAGTTTATTTAATTTTTATACCAAACCTTTCGATTTAAAATGTTGTTTGATCCAGTGGATTAGCTGATGTTTTTGCCATACTGTATTTATAAATCCATGTGCTCTCTACAAATTTATCTCTGCTATGCTATTGGTATTAAATGAAATACATTAAAACCTGAGTTCACTTATATGAAGGCATAGGTTTCTACCCTACATGTGTATAATATATTTAAAATGAAATAGAAATTGCATTGTCTTTCCTTGGTAAGTGACAAGCTTCAAAAGTTAGTAACACAGCTTAAGAAAAGTACATTATTTTCACAGATCTACATTACAGTCGAGTAAAATACCTCTTCCTTGCATACCTTTAGATTGGCTGCCATTTTGGTTTAAAGATGATATTCCATCTTGGACCAATATAAACAGCATGTTCCCAATCTCTAACTAAGGTTAAAGGACTGGAAGTGACACCATCCATAGGACTATCAGTGGACAGTCTTAATAAAAGTCATATGATAAATTTACCTAGACATTAACCATGATTAAATGTTAACCAGGACTCCTACTTTAAGGAAGTTCTGAAGCCAGCATGTGAAGCTCGTGTGTAAAACCTGGCTTGACAGAATCATGCATTCAGGTTAAGCTTGGTGCAGGATTTGATCCTAAACCTAGCTAGAGCCAGACAGGGAGTAATAGGAGGATTTCATATTCAAGAGAAGTATTTAATGACCACTATTTTAGTATAATCTTGTACATATCTACTCAAAGGTAGGTTGGAGGGAATGTGTAATTCTATGTCTTGTTCTTGATCTCATAACCATGATTAAGGAAAAGTAGTAGTATCATATTGGTACTGAATCCATGCAGTACAGGATCCCTATACTGTATTACATCAAATGAATTAGAGGTAAATTGTATTAATTATGGTTATTTTTTTTCCTGCAGATATACAGATTACACCTAGAAGCCTTTAGAATCAGTGGCAAACTCCCATGATTTGTTTTTCTGGCCACCATCAGTATGTGACCTTCCTTTTCAATCTGCAACAGCAGTTGCTCCATTTCCTGATTTATGGAACTTTTAAAAACATGTTTATTCTCCATAGTAAGTCAATTGTAAAATTGTTAATTAAAGCCATAGCTAAACAGGTATGTGGAACATACGAAATGACTTTAAACTTATTTCATGCTGCTAAAATGAGAAATTATTGTACCAAATATTTATTTTCAATAAAGACTTGGAATGAAGTAGGAAAGCACAGCATCAGGATAGTGAGGAAAGAATTTGTGTGTGAGTCTATGTACTATAACTGTCCATGTTTTGCACTACAGAAGCTGCCACCTTCCATCAGCTCTATGCCTTCATGGTTCACTTAGGAGTAAATTAGACTCCCATGCCACCAATTAGAGTTAGTCCTACTTTTTAATATATAGAATGAGGAATATGTCTCAAGGACCACATGGTAAGGGATTGGGACTGCGGAAGGAAGAGCTGTATATCCCTTAGCATCTGTCTTGTGCCTCTAAAGCCAGCTTGCTGCTTTGAGATGTGATGAAGAACAACTGTCACCAGTGTTGAAATAAGATTCAAATGTCCATGAAGAAAACTTCTACAAGAAAATGATGGGCCAAGAGAGCTGGTTCTTTGCACAGTTTGGAAAGTGTCCTCTTTTTTTTTGGACTCCATCCCTTAGAACTGTCCAGTCTGATTGTGCTGCCTGGAGGACTCTGGGAGTTGTAGTCCAAAAATATAAGCTTTGGAGAGAGTTTAGTGGCTTCTATGGCTAGAGCACTGCCTCCATATTAGGAAAAGCCCATGAGACCCTTGCAATTGAAGAGGGTGTCCCAATGGAAGTCATTTTGCCCTTTCAAAGGTGTTTGTGGCAGTGGAAAAGGCAGGGGGAATGATAACAGTGAGAAACTAGAAATAATTCAATAAGATATTATGGAACAATATAGAAATCTATTAAATCTGTTGGGGAAGATTTATTTACTGATCTTGCCAAACCTTTGTTGCTTTTTAAACTTTCAACAGAACTAGTAGATGGAAACAGCTCCACACTATAGTTTATGAAACAGATGGTTTATCTTAATTATAATGATTATCAAACCATGAGCCATTTGTCTTGTCCTTTGTAGCATACTTGGCTGCCTTTTCTTTTCCTTTTCAACTTATATGGAATAGTTAAATTGCAGCAACTGTTTTGCATGTCACATTGGTTCATATTGGTTTTTGTTTCTGTTGGCACAAATGGGAAAGAAGTGTAGATGAGGCATCTAGAAATAAACAACCTTACATTAAATGCATTGTTTCCCACATACCAGATTTGTTTTCATGCAATCTATGATATATCTCATACCTTTCAATGGAAATTGGCCAGAGTTCCCTAGATGTAGGTATAATGTGACTCTTTAGAGATAGGTGTACAAGCACGTATATTGTCCATGCTTCACTTGCATTCTTTGAGAAACACAAATATAACACTGATACATGCAATGAAACCACATTTATCAGATGAAGTGTGACATGAGCATTTGGGAGATCATCATATAAACTTGGTTGCAAGAATGCTTGTCCTTCTAAACATGAATAAGGAGAGGTAGAGGGACATAACAGAGTCCCCCACTGCCCAGTATCCTCTGATAGTTCATTGGAACCTGGAGGGATCTACATATTCCACCTAGAGAACTGCTGGTGTACAGTAATTCTTTGAACGACTCTGTTCTGAAAAAAGTAGCCATCTTACTCTGTTACAAAATAAAGAACAAAACCTGGAAGCTTGTCTTTTTTAAAGACTAAAGGTCCCAGAGTGCCCCCCCCAGTCAGCGCAGCCAATGGCCATGATGGCTGTGGAATTCTGGAAGTTGCAGGCCAAAAAAGGAACTTTTTAAAGTTCTAACAAAGAGTCTTGTGACACCTTAAAGACTATAGGCCAAATCCAATGACAACTACAATGGACCCACTGCATCAAGTGGACTTGCACAAACACTGACCTAACAAATCCCATTCATTCAATGGGTCTGATTTAGTGAGGATTAACATCTGTGCATATATTAAAGTGTTTGCTTTCATGGAATACAGCTCACTACATTGGATGTATGGGATAAGGCTATCTGTTGTCCATGTGAGCCAACACAGCAATAAATTTGTTAATTTTTAAGGTGCCACAAGATTCTTCATTGTCTTTTAAGAAAACACACATTTCACTAGTATGCAGTACTAGTGTAAACCTAGTTGCCAATAAATCAGAGCAAGCTCATCTGTAGCAAGTAGATCAAACCTGTACTCTGCTTATCTCTTGCAAAGCTTTACTCACTCAAGAGCAGACCATACAATTCCCATCTCATCACTCAGGAACTGTTTTGTTGCTGTTGCTGCCGCTATCCAAAAAAAACTTTTTCAGACTATTTTAGTGCCCTGTTCTTGATAAAGGAGAGAAAATAAGTTAATGAAACATGATTAAGTTTGGCTGTATGGTTGAGAAACATTTCTGGCTCTTATATGGGTGAGAAATATTACTAAATCACAAGGATATGATGTTCAGTGCAACCAGCGGTTCCCATATCTAGGATAAAGTGCTAATTACTAGACTGTTGAGTAATGTAAACAGTATCACAGCCTGTAGGGAAGCAGCAACTGCTTGCAAATATAAACAAAACCTTTTGCACAGACTAATGTCTGTGATATGAAATGAAGGTCAGTTGAAGCAAATAATAATGATCTGGTGGCACCATCTGTATAGAGAATGGGCTGCTATAATCAAAGACTGAAAAGTCAACGGGAATGGGAATAGATACAGTTTCAGATGGTTCAATGAGACTCGAACCCAGGGGGAGACAAGAGATTATATTTAGGGTAATGAAAGGAAGGACATAGAAGACTTTTCTCATGAGTTCCAGCATGTTCAAAGCACTTTTTTATGTGTGCTGCTGTGAGTTTTGTTCAGAGCAAAATGGGTAAGTTACCGTTTTGCACTACAGTCTTCAGAAGCCCCAGGCAGTATGACCATAGTCATACTGGCTGGGGGTGGGGTGCTCTGGGAGTTGAAGTCTAAAATGGTAGTTTCCACAAGATCTGGTTTGTCTGTTTGTTTGTGTGCCTAGTGTGGACTTTGTACTACTGATGTTTGATGCTGAATTTAATTCTGTTTCACCTTCGCTGAATGTTTTAGATATAGTATATTTTTAGATTCCAATACTTTCAAAAACCAGTGCAACCCCCTCAAGGGATAGAGACAGAGCGAAAGCAAAATCCAAATAAATTTGTTGCTGAGGCTGAACATGAAAGTTATAATAAAATGAACATATATTGAGATTTAGGACTCCCCCGCCCCCCAGCTTAAAGGAGAAATGCAATTGGCTATGCGTAGAAATATAACTGGTGTATAATGATGTCTTGGAATTCATTATGGATGGTTGGTCTCTGAATCACACTATTTCCCCCCCTGGTCAATCTTGTTTTGCTTCAACAATGTGGGGGCTATCATGATTTTGATGAGAAGCCAAGCAAAGATACGGATTTTATATTCTTTTTATTCTATAGGTTTGGGATAATTTTATTCCCTTTTTATTTTTATTTGCTGAATTTGTATATCCACTATGGGTCCTTTTAAGGAGAAGGTGGGGTAAACATATTTTAAATAAATAAATAATAAAAAACACAGATATTTTCCAAGGGCTCAGAAAGGAAATACAGTAAAGATATGAAAATGAAAGATAAAACAATGGTAAGTTATTAAACACTAACAGCATAATTAGTTTGGTGCTGTGGCTAGTGTTGGAATGAGACTTTGGACTTCCAGAGAAGGGTGCCCATAGAGTTATGAGGCTCATCATGCAACCTTAGACCATTCACCAGCCTGATTGATCTCACAGAATTGAGAAGATCACGTACAAAGAGGTAGAGTTATTTCTACATCTTTGGCATAATTGGTGGAAATTTCAGCTAGAAGTGTAACTTAATACATTGAAACAAGACGACTAGACCAGTGGTTCTTAACCTTGGGTTACTCAGGTGTTTTTGGACTGCAACTCCCAGAAGCCTTCACCACCAGCTGTGCTGGCTGGGGTTTCTGAGAGTTGCAGTTCAAAAACACCTGAATAACCCAAAGTTAAGAACCACTGGACTAGACCACTAATCAAAATTATTGCAAAGGCCTGAGGGAACCATAAGGTCATCTGGTACCCCTCAAAATACAAACGTGGAGTCAGATAAATCCCCATGGAAAGATTGTTCCATAGCTGTGGTGCTAACTATCTCAAAGACCATCTCTTTTTGGTTAGTAGCTATTGATATCTCTGCTTCGTTTCGTTTCATTTAGTCGTTTAGTCGTGTCCGACTCTTCATGACCCCATGGACCAGAGCACGCCAGGCCCTCCTATCTTCTACTGCCTCCCGGAGTTGTGCCAAATTCATTCTGGTAGCTTCAATGACACTGTCCAGCCATCTCATCCTTGGTCGGCCCCTTCTCCTCTTGCCGTCACACTTTCCCAGCATCAGGGTCTTTTCCAGGGAGTCTTTTCTTCTCATTAGATGGCCAAAGTACTGGAGCCTCAGCTTCAGGATCTGTCCTTCCAGTGAGCACTCAGGGTTGATTTCCTTTAGAATTGATAGGTTTGTTCTCCTTGCAGTCCAGGGGATTCTCAAGAGTCTCCTCCAGCACCACAATTCAAAGGCATCAATTCGTCGGCGGTCTGCTTTCTTTATGGTCCAGCTCTCACTTCCATACATCACGACAGGTAAAACCATAGCTTTGACTATTCGGACTTTTGTTGGCAAGGTGATGTCTCTGCTTTTTAACATGCGGTCAAGATTTGTCATCGCTTTCCTCCCAAGAAGCAAGCGTCTTTTAATTTCGTGGCTGCTGTCTCCATCTGTAGTGATCATGGAGCCCAGGAAAATAAAATCTGTCACTGCCTCCATATCTTCCCCTTTTATTTCCCAGGAGGTGATGGGACCAGTGGCCATGATCTTAGTTTTTTGATGTTGAGTTTCAGACCATTTTTTGCACTCTCTTCTTTCACCCTCATTACAAGGTTCTTTAATTCCTCCTCACTTTCTGCCATCAGAGTGGTGTCATCTGCATATCGGAGGTTGTTGATATTTCTTCCGGCAATCTTAATTCCGGTTTGGGATTCCTCCAGTCCAGCCTTCCGCATGATGTATTCTGCATATAAGTTGAATAAGCTGGGAGACAATATACAGCCTTGTCGTATTCCTTTCCCAATTTTGAACCAGTCAGTTGTTCCATATCCAGTTCTAACTGTTGCTTCCTGTCCCACATATAGGTTTCTCAGGAGATAGATAAGGTGGTCAGGCACTCCCATTTCTTTAAGAACTTGCCATAGTTTGTTGTGGTCCACACAGTCAAAGGCTTTTGCATAGTCAATGAAGCAGAAGTAGATGTTTTTCTGGAACTCTCTGGCTTTCACCATAATCCAGCGCAAGTTAGCAATTTGGTCTCGAGTGCCTCTGCCTCTTCGGAATCCAGCTTGTACTTCTGGGAGTTCTCGGTCCACATACCGCTGAAGCCTACCTTGGAGGATTTTGAGCATAACCTTGCGAGCGTGTGAAATGAGTGCAATTGTGCGGTAGTTGGAGCATTCTTTGGCACTGCCTTTCTTTGGGATTGGGATGTAGACTGATCTTTTCCAATCCTCTGGCCACTGTTGGGTTTTCCAAACTTGCTAGCATATTGAATGTAGCACCTTAACAGCATCATCTGTCAAGATTTTAAATAGTTCAACTGGAATGCCATCACCTCCACTGGCCTTGTTGTTAGCCAGGCTTTCAAGTTATTAATGCTTCATTGTAAATCATCCTGTCATGTTTCTAGATGTTCAAATGATCACTGAAGGTATTAAGTATTAAAGAAGTATTAAAGATGTGCATTAAAATATGTAGGTGTCTTTTTAAAAACTGGTGGATATACAGTATTTATTTCATTGTACAAAATCAATGTTTTGTTTTGTTTTGTTTTTAAAACAATCCTTGAGCAAATCTGTTAGTCCACCTTAGATAAAAAGTTTGAAATTAGAACAGCTGTCAAGCAATGTGGAATGGCAGAGGGTGTCTTGCTAGAGTAGGAATGAAAATATGCGTGTGAGAAGATGTGTAAAACTAATACTATTGGTTAATAACTTTGTAGTAAAATTGATATAACTTCAAAAATCAGTTTGAAAGGCAAAAAAGTCTAAACTGGAAGTCTATCTATCTATCTATCTATCTATCTATCTATCTATCTATCTATCTATCTATCTATCTATCTATCTATCTATCTATCTATCTATCTATCTATCTATCTATCTATCTATCTATCTATCTATCGCTCCTATTAGTGCCAAGGCACTACTCTGGGCAGTTACAACAAATACAACTACAATTAATCCTTAAAAGCAGATGGTGCAGAACAATCATCTAAAAACAGCAGACAGAGAAAAGGGTGGGGTGGGGAAGAGGTGATCAGATAGGCTTGGTGTGGAAAGCCTCCCTGAAAGGCCATGTCTTTAATTGCCTCCTAAATATCAACAGAGAGGTGGCTAGGCAGAGCTCCTCCAGAAGCTGGTTCCATAAAGTTGGAGCCACCACAAAGAAGGTCCAACCTCTTGTAGAAGACTTATGGGCCTCCCTCAGGGTGGCCACCCAGAGAAGCCTTGACTGAGATAATCTTGTGGGTCAGGCAGATGACTTTAAGGAAAGATGCTCTGAAAAATAACATGGGCTCCAACCATGAAGGGCTTTGTATGTTAAGTGTGAAAACCTTGAACCTGATCCAGGACACGACAGGCAACCAGTGGAGGCGAGCCAGAACTATAATGATACAGTCAAATTTTTGCTCACACCCACCACCAGTCTGGCTGCTCCATTCCGAACCCACCACCAGTCTGGCTGCTCCATTCTGAACTTGCTGAAGTCTCTGGATCAGGCTCAGGGGAAGCCCCACATAGACAGCATTGCAGTCATTGATCTGGGAGATGACCAGGACTTGCACCAAAGTCCTGAGGGAGTCCTCATCTAGGCAGGAGCTGAGTTGTGCAATTAGCCTAAAACGGTTAAAGGCTGATCTGGACATGGCTGCAATCTGGGACTCCCAGTCAGGTCCAGGAGAACACCCAAGTTGTGCACTTGGTTCCTAAACAGAAAGGCAATGCCATCCACCCTAGGGACCAACCCCCACAACCTATCAGATGTCCTCCCCAGGAGTAAAATCTCTGTCTTATCCGGTTTCAGTTTGATCCTTTTAGTCCCAGTCCTGAAGCCAGGCAACGCTCAAGCATCTGGATGGCATCCACTGCAGAGGTGATAACCTCACTTCAAATCTCCTGATGGCCTCCCCTAATGGCTTTACATAGATGTTAAATAGCATTCGGAATAATGCTGATCCCTGAGGAATCCATATCTCAGGGTCCAAAGTGCCGACACCTCTTCTCCTTGCTATACTATCCGGACAATCTCAAGGTCCAAAGTGCCGACACCTCTTCTCCTTGCTGTACTATCTGGACATCCTCAAGGAAGGACTGGAGGCAGCTCAATGCTAGGCCCCCAATCCAAACCTTGAGAGCATGTCCAGGAGGATACCATGGTCAACAGTATCAAAAGCTGCTGAGAGATCTAAGAGTATCAACAGAGTGTGTCTGCCCCTGTCAAGGTCATCTTGTAGCATGACCAGAGTTGTCTCAGTATCCTGTTGTGGCCTGAATACAGATGGGAATGATTCAAGGCAATCCTGTTCCTCTAGGTATGTCTGCAGCAGATTTTGCACCACCCTCTCAATCACCTTGCCCAAGAATGGTATATTAGAGATCAAATGGAAATTATTAAGGTTGTCTGATGCTAACAGGAGGTGTTTGATGATGGGTTGGACTATGGCTTCTTTTAAACAGGAGGAAAAATTCCCTCCCTCAGCAATGAATTAACAATGTTCATGACCCAATCAATCATAGCCCCCTTCGTGGCTCCAATCAGCCACACTGAGCAAGGATCAAGCAAGGAGGTGGTGGACCTACAGCTATCATCCTGGAGGCTTCCTCCTTTACTACAGGGTCAAACTTAACCAGCTGAACAGTGAGAGATGGAGCAGCAGCCATCACCCCCAGATCAGCGAAGCTGGTGCTGAGGTCAAGTTCAGCACAAATGATCTTGCTATTCACTCTAAAAATGGCTGCAAACTGATCACTAGTGAACTCAGAACAAGGCCTTGAATGGTCAGAACTGGAAAGATTATGGAACACCCGAAACAATTCTGCTCGTCATATATATATAAAATAGGGCTGCTGTTAAGATCATGGCCAATAAATATGGCCATATATATATTGGCCATATTTATTGGCCATGATCTTAACTGCAGCCCTATTTTCTGCCAACTGATCTCCTCTCCACCTGCTCTCTAGCCATCTCCTTGATAACTTCATAGCTAGGAAACAAGTAAATTCTAGGAAATAAGTATCCTAGAATTTGTTTAATATGGTCTGTATTGGCAAGTTTATACTTGTTGCATTCTTCCTCCTCTGTCTTTCCCCACAACAGGGTCCTCCTTTCTTTACCAAAGCAGAGAAGAGAGGATTCCATGCTCACCCAAGAGCATAATACATCCACGTTTCTGACTGAAGAATGAATTTGGACAAGGTTTTTAAAAATATATATTATTTTGGTTTGGTTTGGTTGGTTTGGTGTTTTGCCTGATGAAAAACTCAGAAGTCTGCTATCTTTCATAGTGACAGGTTAAACAAGAAAGGATAGCAAATTTGGTATTCAGTGAACTGCTCTGTTCATAGAGTTATCTGAAGGATCCACAGTGTTTTTCACATCTACCTGAGAAAATAAATAAAACAGATACAGGGTTTCTGTTTCCTTAAATATATGAAGGAGCTAAGCAGAACCAGAGATAACAACTTGCCCATGGATCATACCTCCATGGCCTGTGTGAAAAAGAACTGTATGCTTCATGCATATTTGTTCTTGTTGTAGTAACAAAGTTCTAACTTTTGTTTTTTTCCAGACTGAGTTTTGTTTTGTCTTCCAGAGTTTGACATGAATTGATGAAAAGCCATCACCCATTAACTGTGGCTAAATGCTGAAACGAAGCCCAGTACAGTATGTATGTGCATTTGTATATTACTAGAAACAAATAAACTGGACAAGAGTTAAACAACACATAGGCCCTAATCCAGAAGGATGCTTAGGCAGCACAGCACTAGTTGCACTGTTGTGTGTAAGCATCTGTCTTTAGTTATTTGACAACCAGGTGCCCAGCTGTTATTTTTGGTAGCACCAAATACTCGTTTATAAGGGTCTGGATATATTTTGTTCTTTATTACCAGTGCTTTCGAAACTCAGTGGCCCAACCATCTCACCAGGGCTACTGCATCTAGCAATAAAAACTGTACAGGAACATAGAAAGCTGCTGTACACAATGTCACAGCATTGCCAAGAGTGATTGATAGTAGATCCACAGGGTTTCAGACAACAGATACAGCCTCTGTTGCTAGATGCAAACCAGGAACAAGCATTCCCAGGCCCAAGGCAGAGCTCCAAGTCAACAACTTATTCTGACACTCAGCAGAGGCTTTTCATTCATTGTGGCCCAGATTACTCCTCCTAGGATCTATTTCCTTCCACAAAATGAAAAAAAAATGCTTTTAGCTTGCGAGTCCAAAACTTAATCTCTTCAAGAACCTGAACCGGGCATACAACTGGTCCTGATACTCTGGCTGTAGGGATGATGGGGGCTCTCCAAGAAGGATGTGCTATTCTAGTGTTAGAACTAGGTTCAGGGGCTGCCAGATTTGATCTGTACTCATTTGTCTGAGGCTTAGGAGTCTCCGCTTGGCTTCCCTGAGGTCTGAGGCCCAAGAGTTCCAGTATTTCAGGCTCAGAGCTCTCTGCCTCCACATGCAGGTCTAATGTCTCCTTTGCTGCTGCCACTGGTTCCTCAGCTTCAGAGTTCGTGCCAGGGTCTGAGCTTGGAAAAGATAATTTTTTGAACTACATCTCACACAGTCCTCTAGCCAACATGACCAAGTTGTGATCATGGCATATAACAACAAAATATGTTATTTCACTTCATTTTTTGCAATAGGTGGAGGCATTAATTTAGTGGCAGGGCACATGCATCATGTTCAAGAAATCCTTGGTTCAGTCACTGGCATCTCCAGGCAGGACTATGGAAGACCCCGGCTTCAAACCCTGAAAGGACACTACCAGTGAAGGTAAACAACCCTGAGTTAGATGTAACAAAGAAGATCTGACTCGGTATCAGGCAACTTCTTACAATTCCATATGTCACACAACATTCTGCCCTCCCATGAGGTCTTGAGTCCGGCTCTAGCAAGTTTGCATGACTGTCACTGCTAGGAAAGGTCACTGAAATATGATGCCATCAATATTTTCTCATGTATATATGCTAATTTCCCCTATAATTCCTCTCTTCCATTAGCACTGCTCTCGTGTGTGTGTGTGTGTGTGGGTGTGTGTGTGGGTGTGTGTGGGGGTGTGTGTGTGTGTGGGTGTAATAGTAGAGTTAATCCATCTCTTTTTTGATCAACTGACATTTTATAATTTTGTACAAGTATCTATTTAAATTATTTAGAATTCATGGGATCTAAACAACTATGCCTATGTGAATGGTGGATTTCTTTTATCTGTAGTTCTGGTTCCCTCCATCATGGTAAATACCAGCTATAATCACATTCAAAGAAACCACCACTCAATATAGATGGGGTGAAACCACCTTATTTTTCTGGGATAAAAACAACACCACATGAGAATTGGGCATGATTCTCATGTAAATGCACTGAGGATCAAAATACAAGACTGCATTTGTGTTAGCAAATGGTATAAACATCTAAAGGCAAGTGCAGTTGTCCTCATTATACAGGCTTTTCTCCTTTCCTCAGTGTTGATATTCTGGTTGATGTCTGATATCTCACATATTTTCATATTCAAACAAAATACATGATTTGGGTGGAGAGAGTGTTTGCCCATTGCACATGCATACATAGATGGAAAAAGTGCACATTTCCTGCCTTAGACTGTGATTCAGAAATGTGTCCATCATAGCCAATCTGCCTGCTCAAATCAATGACTTAGATGGAATGAACAAATATGTTTCAAGAAGATGGAATTTATTTCATTAGTAATGTTTGCATTAAATTAAAATTTAGCAGGGAGTCATTTGCAGTATCAGTATTCATATTTTTAAATAGGGAACTGCTCAGAACATGTGTAACAACTGACATCAACTGACAGAAAAAAACACTGTTCATATTCTGTTGTGTATTTGCTTAATTTTTAAGAATATATTTATAGAAAACGTTGCCATATGGTTCATGTTAAATATACTTTTAACCTTACTTTTCAACCAGTCATCATAGCTTTATGGTTATTATTCTTGCTCAGGATTTGTACTGTAATCTCTGTATTATTTTTGTTTACTATTTTCATTAAAAATACCATGATATATTTGAAAATTTAATTATTTGTTTTTTAAAAAGCTATTTCTACCTTCACCTGTAAATAAAAGTTATTTGACCTTTTGTCAGTTTCACATAGTCATTCTTTTTAAAGAAAATTATTATTATTTTGTATTGTAGAAGTGATTATTCTTAGTGGTTAATTAAATTATGCTGAGTGGTTAATTAAAGAATTCTTGTTTATAAAATGTCACTTTACTGAGAGTTAAATTATTTAAAAGGAACTCAATCTACAAAAAATGATGGTTGCACAGGTACATGGTACAGCAAATTTAGTATAGCTAAGAAGCTCTGGACCTGACCAATGTTAAGATGGAAGACTGCCTGGAAAACAGAGCCAGGTCTAGATCTGAGGGAGGTCCTCAACAAAAGGTCCTTTTGTAAGTCCCCTCTCATGCTGATGGCAGGACCTGGTTGATTTGCTTGGTAGTAGGGAGAGGTACACAGTTCCAGCATCACTTTGATGAACAAACTCAGAGATGATGTTTTCATTTCCACTGACACAATGCCTTGAGTTCCATGGTAGAGGAAAAGTGGCAGATAAATGTGTTTAAGTACATTAACAAGTGATCAAGGCATTGCCACCATTTGTGCTGCTTGTTACACATTGATTTGATTGATTCTTGTTCATCATGGCAAAACATAATGGAGCCAGCGGCTAGCATTCAGGTCCTCTAGATTAACTCTGGTTTTTTTGGACCTACTCTCTCCTGCAGACCAAAGGTAGGCAAGCTGTTTCAGCCTGGAGGCCAGACCCAATATCATTACTCCCATGCAGGGAAAGGTCAAAAGCATTCTAATATTTTAGTTCAAAGTGCTTGTTGTCCATAACAAAGCCTTGAGACAGGCATGTCAGCATTTTGGAATGGGGAAACAACAATGTACAAAAACTTGACATTCATGAGCAGGTTCATGGGAGCATGACCCTGTGGGAACCCCAAAGGACTGCATTTGACATTGAAGGGGTTCAGATTTGCCGTTAGGATCCATGACCCTCCATTCCTGCTCTAGATGGTGTACAAGCTAGATATGTGGTTTTCCACGGACCAGAAGTCAACAGTCTTGATGGGGAAAGTGACAGCCTCACAGGAAGGAACACAAGTGTGGCCGGACATTCCTTGTAAACATGTTGGAAGTGAACTATTTTTAAACACTGTGAATCCCATATTGAGTCCCATCACCACTACCATCACTACAAAAAGAGAGCAATTTCTGACAACAAGTACATGTTTAAAATATTGAGTCCCATCACCACTACCATCACTATAAAAAGAGAGCAATTTCTGACAAGTACATGTTTATAGGTTGTGTAAACAGCATTCTGGCTTAACATACACTCCAACCTTACAGGGTTCAATATACAAGATGAAAAAAAGAATGTATTCATGGACAAAACAATGCACATGAGTAAATGTTGGTTCAGATTCACCTCCTGGAACATTTGTGACATTCTGCAATGTGGACTGCATGTTTCATGTGGCAAAGGCAAAACTCTCTTCTTTTGGGGTGATGTGACTGAGATGCCCATAGATCATGGAGAGTTGTTCTCTATTTCTACCACAAGCTGAAAGGCAAACCTTGCCTTGGGAAAGTGACCCTTTTGGACTACAGCTCCTGGCATTTCCCAGCAAGCATGGCCACACGCTGACGTGCTATTCACAAGAATAGACCCTTAGTTTTATGCATAAAGCTATGTTGGATCAGAAGTTGGAAAAATTACTTTTTCAGATTACTGTACCCAGAATACCCCAATCAACATGGACAGTGGATATGCTGGATTGCAGATTCTGCAGGCTGTAATCCCAAAACTAAATGTTCCTAACACTTTTTAGGATTAGAGTAAAATGAGTACTTGCAGCCTCTTGTGGCATAGCTAGTGCTAATGGGGATTTCTGAAAATATTTCTGATGGCATGATACCATAGTCATCATATGTAGTATATAAACTCTGGATTCACAGCATCCACCTCAGCAGCAGCTAGGGATCAAATTATACATTATAAATGGCATGGCATTAGAAAAGAGAATCCCTTAACAGTTGAAAGACTGGTTGTCACAACACAATTTTTCATATCTCCCACAGTTTGCAAATTGGCTTGCTTTGTTTTCTTCTTTGTCACCAAGAGTGTAAACACGGGCTTCATTTGCAAGCTTCTAGAATCACTTCTTGGGAACACTAGATTTCATCTTCTAATTATGTATTATCTGTAGCATACAAAGAAAAAAGGGTACAGTTTGATCCACAAATTTGCAGCTTTGTATTGGTGGCCAGTAGAGATGGGCACAAGCTGCCAGTTCATTTAGTGGCCAAACAAGTGTTCAGCAGTTCAAAGCCCTGCCTCTTCCAGCTGGTGCCCACTTGGAGCAGTGACCCAGTTCCCCTGACCTGCCTCCCCCAAGCACTGCTTCCAAAGGGGCACACACCAGGGGCAGCAAGGCTTTGAAGCACCAAACAGCTGTTTGGCCACTAAATAAACTGGCATGACCCACCAAACTGATAGTTTGCGCTCATCTCTAGCGGCCAGACTAACCCCTGGTCTCATCATAACTTCAGTGATAAAGTTGCCTCTTCTAGAATATTAAGGACCTCACAGACCAACTACAGCTGCCATGCTGATATTACCCAATATGTCTTTCCATATCATAAGATGCTTTGTGGGGGTATAGGAAGACTATCCTGTAAGCCATGGGACATCTCAGCACAAGATCTAGGTGCTGAAGCAAGGTTGAAGTTGTTCCATTACCCATGTATCCCCCCACAAACACACACAGAGCAAAACAAACATCTCCTGGGTTGTATATAATATTGATCTTTAATTCTGTAAGAGGGTGAAGGGAATTTAAGAAGCTTCAAACAATATCTAATCTGTTTAATGACTGTACTCATTTCCTTTTTTGTGCCATTCCTGGGAAGGAGCCAGTCTACAAAGCATTTGCTGTGGGTGCTTTCTGTTATTTTTGACACACTGCAAGGAGATCAAAGAATTAATAAAACCTCCCTACTCTAAAAGGTCATTTCCAAACTAAATGCAGCAATTCAAAGTGGGAAATGGAATGAGTGCCAAGGTGATGTTTAATGAAGTAACATTCAAGCAGTATCCTTTCAAGAACATTTGCAGAATTGTTTGATTGCCTTAGAGTACACAGGAAACAATAAACCTACACAGCACTAACAGGGTCTCTGATGGCTACATTTTGCTGAAAGGCTGCCAAACAACATGGAATTATAAGTACAGTATAGCCAAGGCTGAATTATCTCATGCGGTAGAAATTTTGCCATGTATTTGGCATAGTGGAATTGTTGGGGAAAGAATCCATTTTGGGGCTTAAAAAACCTCAAATACAATTAACATGTGTATTCAGCTTGAACATTATACATCTATTCAAAAAGCATTGTGAAAATGTCTTAGGGCACATTTTCATGACACCATTATCCGACAATACATTGTTGTCTTCAAAGTTGAACCAAAATACACTCCTGCTGCCAGTGGTGGAGCTTGCTTCAATTATCCAAAACATTCCTTTTGGATTTAAGTGAACTGTTAAGTATATCAAGTGATACCTTACACTCTTGTTGCCCACTGAAGATTGGTTGATCACATGTGCTGGAGTGGGCACAGTAGAGGTGGGCAGAGCTGCATTACATTTTATCAATAAAATCCCTCTCCCATATAAAGCCTTGCTTAGCTTGCTTGCTCAAGTCATCTAGCTCCAGTTGTATCGTATTCACCCTGTTTATCTGAAGGGAGAATGTGGAATGACCACTGATCATCATGAATATAATCAAAATTAAGGGGGGGGGAATCAGCTTTTAAAAAAAAATCAAGATATAGTAATTCAAAAATAGTATTTCCAAGCACAGACACTGGCATTCAGTTCTAAAAGTCTACAAAGCCAGTGTTTGCATTGGTGCTCTCATTTCAGCTTTTATGTTTCA